ATTGATGTAATATTTTTTTTTTTTTGTAGAAAAAACAAGTGAAATAGCTGGTGATACGAAAGATGCAGTTATAGCTGGCGAAAAAGCAGCTGAAGAAAAATTAGCTGCAGCTAAAGATACAGTTCTAGGTAAGTTTAATAAAAAAAACCAAATATTTCTTTAATTATATTATAATTTAGAAAAATCAAGTGAATTAGTTGATAGTGCTAAACATACTGCTCATGATGCAAATGTTAAATTACATGAATTAGAAAAATCAGCTGAACATAAACTTAAAGAAAGTAAACAAGCAATTGGTGAAAAAGCATCGGAAGCTAAAGCTAAAGGTGCTGGAATACTTGGTGCAACACAACATGCATTTACTACCGGTGCTGCACGTGTTACTGAAAAAGTTAAACATGGAATAGAATTAGCATCGAATGCTGCGCATGGTAAATCACATGAATCAGAAAAAACAATTGAACATAAATTAGAAGCAGCTGAAAAAATGGGTAAACATTGTTTTTTTTTCTATGATATAGTATTTTCTAAATGTTCGAACGAAAAGAAAACCTAAATAGTTCCTCAATATCTCTTATTAAAGTAGGCTGAACGCTTAATCCTAACTCATTACCATTATTAATTTTCGACAGTACTATTTTATCTGAAATATATTAAATAAAACTTTAATATAAATACATCAGAGATGAAATGGGTCTATCCGCGACCGGCCTGTATGAAATTCATCAATATGTGATCAAATTATCAAAAAATAAATTAAATCCTCTGGATTGTTGAGGAGTTATTCACTTTCTTTATTTTTTTTTTTTGTTCGAACTTTTATGAGACATTTTCTATTCTTGTATAATTAAATTAGCTGAAGAAAATAAACAAACACTTAATGAAAAAGCATCTGAAACAAAAGCAAAAGGTGCAGGAATACTTGGTGCAACACAACATGCACTTTCTACAGGTGCTTCAATTGTTACTGGAAAAGTTAAACATGGAATAGAATTAGCATCGGGTGCTGTTTCTCATGGTAAATCACATGAATCAGAAAAAACAATTGAACATAAATTAGAATCAGCTGAAAAAATTGGTAAAAACAAAAATTTTTTTTTACAATGTATATTCTCGTTTAATTAATTTAGCCGAACAAAAAACTGAAGAAAACAAACAAGTACTTAATGAAAAAGCATCTGAAACTAAAGCTAAAGGTACTGAAATACTTGGTGCAACACAACATGCACTTTCTAGTGGTGCTGCAGTTGTTACTGAAAAAGCTAAACATGGAATAGAATTAGCATCTGATGCTGCTTCGAATGTTAAAGCAGCTACAGGACAATTAGCAGGTGATGCACAAGCAAAAGTTATTGAAACTGCTCATAATGCTCAGGGTTTGTAAATTTTTGAAAAGAAAAAAAAGAAAAACTAAAACAATTTTCTCATGATATTTAGCAAAAGCTAGCGAATTATTAACAACCGTTGAAACAAAAGCTGCTGATGCTGCTAGTGCAATTGCTACAAAAACTGTCGAAGCAAAAAATACTACTGTAGCAGCTGCACAAACTGCAACATCGACAATTCAAGGTATAAATTTTATATTTTTTTTTTTTTTGTAGAAAATAGAATTCCATCTATTCTATTTCATAGAAAAAACAAGTGCTCTTTTGGATAGTGGTAAACATGTATTAACATCTTCAACTCCATCTCAATCTGCACCAATAGTACCTACTAGTACGGATCATATTACACAAGAAGCATATGTTACTCAAACATCTGCTCTAACTGCTCATGGTCCAGAACCAATTACAGCTGAACAAGTCGCACCAACTACAACAAAAGCTAGTAGAGGTGGTCCATTAGCTGCAATTCGTAATTTTTTTAGTCGTTTATTCAGTCCATTATCACATAGACATGAAGAACAACGACAAGCTAATACTAATGTTGCTAGTCAGACAATTGAAACTACAACAACAGTTGCAACAAGCAATCCACCAATATTATCATGAAATATTTTTATTCTTTATTCTTATCCTTATAACCCATTTGCTTGATAAATAAACAGTGCTAAACTGAAAAAATTCGCCTTTTTTTCTTTTCTTTGTTCTATTCTTGTACACTTACATACTTTATCATTTATAATATGTGTGTGCATGTTTGCTTTCGTTTCGTTATTATTATTATTATTATTATTCACCTTTTCTTGTTTTTTTCTTTTATACAGTTGCAGTTTTATTTCCTGTTCTTTTCTTTTCTTTTTTTTCTCTTCGTATCGTTGAAAAGATACAAGAAAAAATGCAGAATATTATTTAAAAAAAAAAAGAAATATGTTTATATGAATGAATTTCACTATCTTCTTTATGTTTTTTTTTTTCGAAGATAATTTATTGATATTGGTGTGTATAGAGATGTACTTTTGCTTGAATTATTTGTTTGGTTAATTATATTTCAAATATTCTAGCTTGTTCTTTTTTTTTTCAAATGTTATTTTCATTCATCAACCATACGTACCTTTTATTTCAATATATTTGCATGTAGAATAATAATATAAATAATAAACAAATGATAATAGTTAAAAGTAGAATACTATTCTTTCAATATTATTTAAGAAGATAATTGTCACTAAAATTCTAATCGTAACTGTTAAGGGCATCGAGGACTGAACGGTTTTTTAAAAAAAAAATAAGATTCTCATCTGAAAGGTAAAAATGCGTGACGATAAGTTTTTAGGCAAAATACAGTTAGCATTTCTTCTATCGAACTTACATTTTGCAACGTGCAACAATTGTGTAGACCAAAACTTTTTCTAAGTTTGTTTGAGTTAGAAAATGTTATTATGAGCTGCCGAAGAATATTGGCATTTGTACAAAGAATGTAATGTGCTGCTCAAATCTATGAATTAGATGGAAGATGAAAAATATTCTTGTAACAACGCGCCATTTCTCAGAAGAAAATGAAAATTAAATAGTAATAGAAAATTTTTACAATAATCAGAGCCTACCCAAGTCTTTATCTATCCGCTATGATATGAACTCTAGCTTACTCAGGCCTCGTGGCTCCACCACCTATGATTGAGAAGTCAATCAGAAGATATTTGCTAAAGTTAAATGGAGAAGTGAAAAACAATAAACCACAGAAACTTTGTGCTAAAGAAAAATGAAAACTTTTTTAAGATTGGGAATACATCTCTTCGACATTTCTAAAAGCAAAATATCTTAAGTAAAGTACTTCACACAATAAAAGATCTCGGGTCTTCCAATATGAATTCTTATCCATAAAAAATAGAATATCGTTATTACATTTTAGTTAATTCACTATGATTATGTTTCAAATATAAAAACAACAGTTAAATTTCATTTTTTTCATAAATTGATCTAACTCTAAAGACAGTACCTTCTCCTTCTGATTTCATGCCTATAGATGCTGTCTAGTGTGCTAATAAAAATCCAAATCCTTTTAGAATTTCTATTAGAACACTATGTAGTATCTATATCATTGAAGTTGGAAGGTATCAGTCAAGGAGACTCCCTCGTAAGCTGTTTCATTTTGTTATTGTTGATAACCTTTAACAAATGTAAGTTCTTACTTTCTTTTTGACCATCGTTTTCTTTTCATTAGATTCTTTTTCTTTATCGTCTTCGGATTCTTCAACTGATGATATGTCGATAAATATACTAATTCATTTTCATCTTCATCAAAGGTCAAAGTCATTTCAACACTTACATCATCAATTCACTAAATGTATATTACACTTGATACAAATAAAGTTTAATACTAATCATTCCCTATTTTTCATACCATTTATAACTCTCTTTTTCATTCTAACTGAAAATAGGTTTTTTTTTTCTAATCTACGAAGAAAATATCAATGTTTTAATGAACATAATATTCATATGTATGACGATTGATGCAAACAATAATTAGTAAGGATAGTTATCGGATATATTCCTTTATGTAAAGAATGATTTTAATATTTTATTTAGAATTTGTTAGTCTTTTTTTTTTTATTAAAATAGGAAAGCTGCTAGCACAATTCTTGCGAAATTAAAATGTAAAACATGATGTAGCTACTGTTTGTTAATGACAAGGACATTGTTTTATTCAATCTATATTAAGATATATTTCTTCACCATCTTTTTACTTAATTTTCTTTAGAAATGCAATAAGCAAATATTTCATGTATTATAATAAGACGTTGTTGATATATGATTTGTGATCGTATATCAACGTCTGTCAAGGTCTGTAATGAAAGACAGAAGTTGTTAAGGATGTCTGTCACGTCTGTGATCAGTCATTTCTAACGTGTCTGTAACATCTGTGAGAATCCAAGTTTTTACTTCTGTACTTAAACATTTCTTTTAGATTATATTTCATAAAAAAAATAGCATCGAGATTCATAATTAGAGAGAAAAAAATTATCATTAATTTAAAATGATGTTATTATATTTATGATTGTTTATTTTGTTTTAGAAAACTTATGAGTGATGATATTTTACAATATGGATGAATTCTTTTTTTAATCAAAATTTTTTTGGCCGAAATGAATAGTCAATTAGAATAGAGTTTAGAAAAGAATGTTATTTCTTTTTTTTTTTTGCTAAACTTTGATCTACTCGAGAAGAGCGTATGAGCTCATAGTTGAAGTAACAAGACGGATATTTTTTTTTTGTTTGAGAAGTCATTTCATTAATATATTCTTTGCTCTATGACACCAACGTATGTCAACAGTCAATTAAATAGTTATGAATAAAATTATAATATCATCAACTATGGCATTGTGTGTGTTGATTTCTATGAAATTCTGGATTAAATATTGATATAATTGATAATAATTGTTGAAGATAATTTTGTTTTATTTGATAGATCCGTTGATATAATCGTAGTTTATATTCTCTAGTTACTGATTTTGTGAATAATAATGATATTGAATTATCACCAAATTTCACATAGACAGATATCAATGATAAAAAAAAAAAGAAAATTATATAATTGCAAATGAAATAAAAACAGTAATGTTGAAATAAATGAATCTATTCATCGACCAATAGCAAATGATAATACAGGTTTTACTAGTTTCATCATCTGATGCTACAAAAATTTCACCAATACGATCAGCTGAAACTTTTTTCACGTATTCTAGTCACTGTGGAGTGAATGTATTTTTCTTTTCAAGAACTGTTGCTCAGGTGATTTTTGACAGCTTCTGCAAAATTTACTCTCATAATAAAAACAAGCGTTTTTTTAAAGGTAGGGTCAGTATTTTGACTTCTTTACTAAAATGATAAAAGATAAAAAGAAACTACAAAAAAATACTTAACCCAAACAATGTCTAGTACCTGTAAATGCTCAACTCAATTGAACCGATAAATCAGCAAGTTAGCATAAGTTTTTATAATTGATCATATTCTACCTTTGTTTTAATATAGTACCAATGTATACTAGGAAATTTATCTTGACAATTTTAAATATCCCGATGGTTCAATTGTCTGCTTACAGTTAGTGAACTTTAAACATGGAAACATCTGCACAAGTAACTTGAACACACAGAAGGTCAGCATCAAGAAAAAATCGTTAATATGGAACTCTAATGGTTTCGTACATGGATCTGAAACTTTTAGAG